GTGGGGGGCGCGTTCGCTCCCCCCACCCCCCACCCCAGGTCCCTCCTGCGGGGCCGCTGGCAGAGGCGGCCACCTCCCGCCAGCCCCCGGCTCCCTGCCAGCCTGCCGGGCCGGCGCCTACCTGGCAGCCCCAGGATGGTGAAGTAGCCCCGGCACTCGGTGAAGCCGGAGCTCTCGCGGACACAGGAGCGCCACAGGCCCTGGTAGTTGAAGACGGCTGTCACCGGGTTGTTGTATAAATCCTGGGTGCTCCACTGGTCCATGCAGGTGGCAGCAATGATGCCCGCAATGCCGATCAGTGAGACCACAAACCCCAAGCCCTGGCAGGCGGTCACAGACATGGCGGGGTGCAGGGTGGACACGGGGCACCGCTGGACTCGGGGACAGACCAGTTCTGAGAGTGCTGAGCGTCGGATGGAGTTTTCTCCGAGAGGCTGGCACCCACGTCACCATCGAGCCATGTGATGGAGGAGGGGACTCCACAGTGCCACCTGGGCTCGCCCTGCCCCTTTATCTACCTCGGTGAGATAATTTCCACAACATGGTACCAAGAGCCATTTGTTTCCCACCAAATGTACACTCCACTCACTATTTACCTTCTAAGGGAGTTTCACTCCTGATTAGCCAGGCTCCGGTCTGTGGAGGGTAAAGCAAGAGCAGAGGGCGTTGCCTGCAGACCCCGCAGGCCGGCCAGGCAGGGCCCCCAGTGGCTAAAATCTCGAAATACTTGGAGGTGAAAGGGCTTCATCCCTGTGGCCCTACCAAGGTCCCACTGCCACTTTAAACACCCAGGTAAGGCAGGTTATGAGGCAGGATGAAGTACAGCTGATTCTCATCAACCACGGTTGTAAGGGTCTATGAAAGTCACTGAATCAGCGAATATGGAATCATTGCTCCTGAGGGGATACAGAGGTCCGTTTCTGTTAGCCTCTAGTCCCATTTTCATCAACCGGTCAATGTAAGACCTTGTTTTATGTGTTTCTGTTTGATGACGCCTTATTTAATAGACATTGTTCATTGAACTCACAGCCTACAGCACCAGAACCCGCGCCGAAGGACGCTCAGCAAACGCATCCTTTTCCCCGCGAACACATCACAGCCGGCCTGCGCTTGGGAGCAAGAGCCAGCACTTCAGCATTATGCTCGGGGACATTTAAGTAGAGAAATCAGCAACCAAAAGCACACAAATGTGAATAACATGGCACTGAACAGAGTGCGAGAGGACTCGTGTTTACAGGATGAACCGAAACAAGGAAGCCGAGGGTCGCCTTGCTCTGTCAGCCTCAGCTGCGAGCACGCAGCGCCCGCAACCGCCGTCTTCCGCCCTCCGCGTGTGCACGTGTCCAGTCATGGCTGAGCAGGCACCTGCAGTGTTATGACACGTTTTAGTAAGTAGGCGAATCCGCAAATGGGAATCTGCAAATAATCGACGGTAGAGGTTTGATGGAACTGAGCAGTGAACGTGGTCAAGCTGTTTGCAGCCTCTGTGGTGTTGACTCCGCCTTCGCCCAGAGACCACAGAGGAGGGAAGACGCCGGAGGGAAGGAGCTGGAACACCGTGGGGTCTGGAGCCAGACAGGCCAGATGCCCCCTCCCCGCGCTGCTGGCTGGCCGTGTGAGACGAGCTCAACCACTCCACCTCTACCAGCCTCATTGTCTTCACCTGTAAAATGAGATAGTAATAGCAGTCATCTCCCTGGATTGTTTTGTAGCATAAATGTGCTAATGCATGTGAAATGCTAAGTATTGCATACAGAGATCTGAACTCAGAAAATAATAGCAAACATTAGCAGGGCAGACTGATAGTAACAGAATTAAAAGCTTAGGTGATTGACAGATCACTTTCACATTGTGTTTCTTCACATTGATTAGAAACTAAACTCCAGCTTCTCACACACTGTCCCTAGTTATGGAGAGGTTGAAAAATTGGGGGGGTCCAAATATCATTTCTACATGTCTTGAACCTGGATTCAAGTCTCAAGTTTTATTTTTTATTTATTTTTTTACTGTTAAAAGGTTTATTGCAATAATACAATAAAAGTTTAGAGAACATTTGTATGATTCAAACTGGTTTGGAAGTTGTAGAGCAATGGGAGCTTCCTGCAACATGACACAGCAAAGAGATTCTCCGACACTGTAGCTCTTTTAACAGCATACAACCAAACGCTCTTCCCCAAATCATCAATACATTAATCCTCTTTACCAAATCATGGGATGCTATTATACATTGTTGGCTAATACCTCTGTGCCTCAGTTTCCCCATTATTAAAGTAAAGGTTTTGTTATGAACAGAAGTAGTGAATCACTATGTTGTGTATCAGAAAGAAAATAAAAAGTTTCAAGATATCCCAGAAATTTCATAATTAAAAAAAGAGGAACCTCCTTTAGTTGTCTGTGGTATCGTCAGAAAGACTAATGTGGGTTGTAGATAAAAAGTGTGTTTGTGTGCGAGCTTTTGTGGCAGTGCAAGGGAGGAGAGGGTTGTGCTACCCTGGTGTAGGAAAAATGGAGTCACTCAGGCTCCCTTGCCGGACATCTGGTGCCCAGTGACTCAGCTGTGTTATCCTGCATGCGCAGGACCCACGTAGTGTTATGTAAGCATGATTTGCACTGTGCAAGCACACTGGTTAGCTCCTAGGTAATAGCTGGCTGGGTGCTGGCTTTGTTTGCTTTTATACATAAGGCAGATGGGATTTTTCGCCACCACCATTGAAGCCTGTGTACTCCTCCGTGATAAAGGCATGTCGGAGATACCTCCGGCTCCAAGAGTGTTCTTCTGCCTGCTTGAATCCCGAGTGAACCCGCTAGGCCTTGAGCACTGGCAGTATACCTGGTTCACAGGATGGAGGAAAGAATCTTCCCACTTTTCTCTTAATCCCTGAAGTAGCTGCTTGGGTCATTTATTAGAATCCCTCAGGGCATCAGGGGACAAAATTTGAAAACCAGTAGACGAGATTCATTCAATAACGTATTCATCAATTTATACAGTGAAGGGATGGACTAGAAAATTCAGCTCACTGGCCCAGGGAGAAAACAAGGAGGCTTAGTCCAACCTGGTCTCTATGCAGGAAAAAAGAAAAATCTTCTAAGAATATATTATCATGAGTATGGTTCATACATGATTGGGTTTGAATTGACACATCCCGCATCACGGGCCTGGAACTCCCATACTAAGAAAATAACATGAAAAGGTGACTCTGGGCTGATAACACATCAAGAATGACTTGTAGAGGCAATTGCACGAGCCCTCAGTGTAGGTTGAATAAACCTCTGCATTTAAAGCCCTGTCAAATTTGAGCTCAAAACTTAAAATTCAAAATCTATGATAAACAGTGGTAAGCCAACTCTCAAAAGAAAAAGACAATTGCTGACTTTATAGTTTTGCCAGTTTGCGTGGCATAAGTACTCCCACTATGGCTAATTTCAAGCTACCAAATGTGAAGTCACTGAATGTAGAGTTGGAAAGAGATGCACACAATCAGCTCCCGCAAGGAGACTCCTGCACATCACTTGATTATGACTAAGATCACAAGGCTTAGCAAATAGTTATAATGGATCCCCCAAGAAAATCAAATAATGCTGGTTAAAGACATAAAGGAAGGAACCAAAATTACAAGTAAATAAAAGTCACCATGAAAAAAGAACAGGAAGATTTGACCATAACCACCATCCTCCCCAACCTAAAATTCTTAGAAATTAAATACATAATTACTGAAACAAAAAACTCAGTGGACAGTGTAGGAGGCATAATTTTGGACCCTATGATTTCCTTCTCTTTATGTTATATCACAGTTATATTATTTTATGTGGCACAAAGAATTTTACAGATGTAAAGTTACTAACCAGGGGACCTGAAAATAGAGATATCATCTTTAATTATCCAGGGCAATCCAGTGTAACCCTATGAGCCCTGAGAAGCAAAAGAGGAAGGCAGGACAGGGAGTGAGAGAAATGCAGCCAAAAGGAAGTCAGAGCTTAGAGGAATGAGAAGGATTCAATGTACCAGTTGATTCGAAGATGAAAGGATTCACAAGTCAGAGAAATAGGGACCTCAGATCTACAGCTGCAAAGAACTGAATTCCTCTAACCAACAGCAGTCTCAGCAGAAGACCTTAAACCCCATATGAGAACTACAGCCATGGTTGATACTTTGATTTAAGCCAGGTGAGATGATAAACAGAGTATCCAACCACAGTGTGCCAGACATCTGACCTACAGAAATTGTGACATAATAAAAGGGTGGTGCTGGAAGCTGCAGAGTTTCTCAAAATTTGTTGTGGCAGCAATAGGAAACCAACAACAGGTAATTAACAGATTAAATACAGCTGAAGTTAGCATTCATAGACTACAAGATAGAACTGAGAGTATGCAAAATACGGACACAAATAAAGAGATGGAAAACATGAAATAGCAGTAGGAGGCACAGAGGACAGGATGAGAAGTTCCAACATACATCCAATAGGCGTACCGGAAGAAAAGAATAAAGAGAATGAGAGAAAGACAATGTTTGATAAGCTATTGGCTAAGGATTTTCTATAATTGATGAAAGCTTTTAATCCCATATGAAGGTTGTACAGTAGTTCCAGGAAAGAGAACCAAAAATAAAACCATATCTGAATGTACTGTAGTATTGCAGAAATACCAAAGAGAAAAATCTTTAAAAAACCTGAAAGAAGGGAATTACAGCCATTACATCAATTGCACCATAGAAACCAGGTGACAGAATTGTATCTTTAAAAATTGAGAATAAAAATAACTATCCACCTCAAGACAATAAGATAGGCTACAGATGGAGAGAAAATATTTGCAAAATGAAGATATTTGCAAAAGAAAAACATTTGTAAAAGATTTTTTTTTTAATCCAAAAAAATCTGGGGTCAAGGACTCATCCAAAATATACAAAGAACTCTTGAGAGTCAACAAGAACAAAATGAACAACCTGATTAAATAATGGAGAAAATATCTGAAGACTTCCTCATCAAAGAAAATAGACCGATGACAAATAAGCATCTGAAAAGATGCTCAACATCATATGTCCTTAGGGAATTACAAATTCAAACAACAAGATACGTAACTGTTAGATTGGCTAAAGTCCGAAACACTAACACCAAGTTCTAAAGAGGATGTGGAGCAGCAGGAACTCTCATTCATTTCTGGTGAGAATGCAAAATGGTGCAGCCATTTTGGAAGTCAGTTTGGCGATTTCTTAGAAAACTAAACATACTCCTACCATCTGATCCAGCAGTCGCACTCCTTGGTATTTACCCATATGGTTTGAAAACTTAAGTCCACCAAAAACTTGCACATAGATGTTTATAAAAACTTTATTCATAATTGACAA